CGCACCATTCCGCTCACGGTCCCCAGTGCACACAGCATCCAGCCTGCATGTGCTAGCAGCTGGCCACTGAGCATAGGCAGCTGCTCTGAGACCCGGACATAAGTTTGGGGGAGAAGTGGGATTGGGTGACAGCAGGGAGGGGATGTGTTTGGCTCTGGGGAAGGGAAAGGGAGGGGAGGGGGATTGGGTTGCACATGGCATCCTGGCCAGCTCATTGAAAAGCCAGCCGCTCAGTGCACGTGCCCCAGCGCCCGGAGGGAGATGCACGGCTGTACCAGCAGCTCCGGGACCTAAGCATAAGGTGGGGGAAAGGGGGGTTGTGTTGGGAGTATGCCCCCTTATAGTACCTCCTGGAATTCTAGCATATCCAATAATCTGGCACCACCTAGGTCCCAAAGGTGTCAGATTATCAGAAATGTACTGTACTTACCTAACTGGTTTTAAAACAGCGTGAGTGATTTCTTTCATTAACACATACGCAACCATTCAGAATAGAATAAAATGTTTAATGGCCTAAATACAGTGCAGTGCACTTTGAAAAGCCATTTTTTAAACTAGTATTTCCTTGTTATGCCCTTGGTATTTCATAGCTGTCCTGTTTAAGCACTGAAGCAATTAGTTTTGAGAAGGCTGATTCTTCAGGGTCCAGTGCTTTCCTGCCTTTCATTTGCCGAAGCTGTACATTTTAATGAAGTTGTTTCATCTGTGTTGCCAAACACTACAATTTTGCTGCTTCAGTTCTAATTATCTCTGTTGGCAAATGCTATGTTTTATTAAAGCTGTCAAGTGCACTGTTCATTAAAAGTCCACAGTCTGTGGTGTCATGCACACAAATTAGATCAGCTTTGCTCATTGATGGATTATGTAGAAGTTAAATATTTTCTACATAAACCTTAAAAATCTAATGTAATGGTCATCAGTGTCACCCTGAGTTTAGGTAAGGCATACCTGTGGCTTCATGAGACTTAACCATAATTCATTTTATAAATGTATATTAAAACGTAATTAATCTAGCTGAATACACTGTTTTGCTCTAAGCCGGACACCTAGAGTAATATTTTATTTAAGAGAGCCTTTTTCTCACTTAGATCGTAGAATTAGATGCTGAAATCTAGAATTGTGTACACTGTAGTATGATTACTTTGTTTGATACTGATTTAATGGAAGCAAAGCCCTCTGTGCAACAGTCTTTCATTAGAGACTTGTATAATATAGTAGATTAATTTCCACTAAAAGAAATATGCCTTAATTTAAATGCTACTAACCTTGTGCATGCAAAAGATTGGAATGCTGCACATCTACCAAGTTCTATATTACAACTTCCTATTTTAAAAGGTGAATTTGATTGCAAACTATTTACATCAAATATATGATGCTTTGGTCTCACAGTGACAAATGTATTATACTTCCACAGAAAGTACTTGACACAGTGTGGGTCATTTGTGTTATAAACAGTGGTCTTTTTACTAGTTTGCATTTTTGTTTTTCTTAGGAACTTTTTTACAGAATATATCATTAGTTAATTTTGTTGTGAATAAAGTACATATTCATCTTGTTGGGTATTAATTGTGCTCCAAGCATACTTTAAAATATCCTAATAAACTAAACAGTGACAAGGTATGAGATGAACATGTATCTTGCTGATGTATTAGTAATGCTTATCTGAAAATTTCAAGTGCCCCAAGAATATATATTAAAATTGCTTTTCAATAAAATTGCTTTTCAGTATGACATCACTTTTCTCTTTAGTTACTTTATTTTTTTAGATTAGATTTATACTTTCCAACATTGCATTTAAATACATTGGCCTATATAATAGTTTTTGCTTTGTATCCTAAAATTCAGGAGACCCTTGAGTAAAGTCAGTTTGAGTCCAGATACTCCACCCCCCTTTAATTTCCTAATATTTACATCTAGGCCCTCAAATGCCCCACCTTATCTTAAATGTGTAATGATAATATGTGGAAAGAGAGGTGGTCTCTGATAGTCGGGACCCAAGCCATTAATGGCTTTATAGATAAGGGACAATATTTTGAATTGCACCCAGAAGTTCTAAGCTTACAGTAAAGCAGTTGCATTCTGCACCATATGTAATATCTGAATGGTCATCAAGAATATGTCCAAAGTAGGACATATCACCATATTGTGATGATGAACAGAAGACCTGAGAGAGAAGTTCACATATGTCTATTCAGAGAGAGGTACATGAGATTAAATTGTTCTTGGCCCTCAGAACTAGCTGGGATTCCAGAGGAAGACTGGCCTTAGAGCCGTGGTCACCAACCCGTCGATCGTGATCAACTGGTCGATCACGAGGCCTCGACCAGTCGATCGCAAGGCATTCTGGGCCCCCCATTTCCTCCTACCCCCAAGAAGCCCTGCTACCTACCTCCAGTGACAATGGAGGTAGTAGTGGCTTCCTGCTGGACAGAAGTCCTGAGCTGTACATCACTTCTGGGGGCTATGGGAATGCTCTGGCTGCTTCCTTGCCCCAGGTCTGTGGCGTGCCAGGAGCTTACCGGGGGAGTCCCCAGAGGCATGCACTGGGACTTCCCTTCTCTGTGGGAGGGGGGAGTTGGCCCCGGAGGGGGCATGCGCGGGGGCTTCCCTGATCCATGGGAGGCTCACACCGGCCCCAGAGGAGGCGAGCGACGGGGCTTCCTTCCTCCACAGGGGTGCTCCGTAGGAGGCACGCGCCAGCCCCACAGAAAGTGTGCAACAGGGCTTCCCTCCTCTGCGGGGTGGCGGAGTCCTGGGAGGAGGCGGACACAGGGGACGCTGTCCCCACTGGCCCCCTGGCCCCTGCTGCAGAACCCTGTCTCCACTGGCACCCTTTTCCCTGCTGCAGAACCCTGACCTCCCCTGTCCCCAGCCATAGAACCCTGCCCTCACTGGCACCCTGTCACCTGTCCCAGCACCGACTAGCACCCTTCCCCAGTACCATGTCCCCTGATCCCACCAGCACAGTTGGGGCCACATTAGTGAGACTTGGGGGGGTTTGGAGGAGTTATTTTTTTGCATCTCACTGGTGTGGCCCCAACTGACTTTTCTGAGAGTCAGTGACCCCTTACTCAAAACAGGTTCCCCTACCCTTCTCATAAATAAAGACCATGTAGAAACTTTTTGTGTTTGACATAGTATTTTATTTAAAAATGAAGCCTGGCCAAAAAAAACCCAATTGGGGCCAAGCCCCCATCTGGCCACAGCATCATAACACTCCTTCTTTTCCCCATACCCTAGATCTGAGCCTATCATACACTGGAACCTCCTGCCCTGAGCCCCTCACATACCCCAACCCAAATTCCTGCACCCTCACATGCACAAGCCTATGGCTTGCTTAGTACCCCAACCCTCCATCTGACCCCACACTGCCCAGCCTGGAGCCCGCTCCCTGAGCCAGCATTCCCTTCTCCACCTCTTCCTGCATCCAGATTTCCTCCCAGAGTTTGCACCTCACCCCTTCCCACAACCAAATCCCTCATTCCCACCCCAGAGCCTATACATCCTGTCTCAACTCAGCGAGGGTACAGCTAGACTGCGGGAGTTTTTCAGGATTCCAGAGATATCCCAGAAAAACTCTTCCGCATCCAGGGACACATTTGTTCTTCCGCTTTTTTTAGTGGAAGAGCAAACATGCTCTTTCGGTAACGCCTGTTTTCCTCTTTCTACGCGGAATAAGGGGGCTTCCAAAAGAAGGGTTTTTCTGACATTTGGTCCAGTCTAGACAGGCCAAATATTGGAAAAACCTCTTCCTACAGAAGAATTGGGAAAAAAGCAGCAGTATAAGGGTTGGGGATAGCAAGTGATGGAGAGAAGAAGAATAGAGAGGGCGGGGTGAGGCAGGACTTCAAGGAAGGGGTAGAGTCTTAGGGGAAGGATGGGGCGGTAGATCTTGGCTTGTTCTGTCATTTAAAAAGTGATCTTGGATGTAAAAAGTTTGGAGACCACTGCCTTAGAGCATCAAGTTGCAAATTGCATGATTAAACCTTGTATTTAAGGGGAACCGAAGTCATCCTCACCATACTCTTAAAGTCATTCCCCTACCTCTAACCCATTGTCATTTTCAGATTTGTACAAATACAGATTCAGCTAATTTACTTTTGTCCAAGTCCTAATGTCAGACAGGAAGCAAGCAAAAACAGACCACACATAATCCATTTCCAGTAGAAATAAAGCATGTAGCCACAGTTTCAGGAATAAAACTTACTTGAGCACACATTCAGCCTATTGTTTCTTGAACATCCCAACTAAGATTTAAAACGTTTTCATTATATTTAAATTTGGTGCAGATTTGAGACAGTCCATGTCACAAACTCATAATATTCCTGTACCAACTTCCTAGTTATCAAGCTAATTATTGCTGATCACACCACAGTTTTTCACATCTTTTAGATAGCAATTACCACATGTTTTAAGGACAGTGGAGAGAAAATAATTTTCTTTTGATCAAGAACACGTTGAATTTAGCAATATAGAGTCAGATTATTTCTGTGACTTCACTGAAGCAATCTGTCAACAATGAGCCTCATTGAGAATCTTGAAACTAGATGTGTAAATACAGTATCTTCATGTATTATCTAGTAACCTTCATATTACATTTATAAAAATTCTTGCCTTGGTGTATTTACTCACTAAATAACAAAAGGATCTCGTGGTTTTCTGTGGCACTTCTAACTAAAGCTAAATCGAATGAGAATAGTAAGAAAGTGATAGATAATAAATTGAAACTATAAATCAGTTCTGCACATGTGGTGATTAGAGGTTGGTAAAGTTCTAATCCAGATCCTAATGTCCTAAAAGTTCAGGGTTAACCATTGTTTTTGTTCAACTCATTTATGATAAAAGGTCACAAATGAAGTTCGGATCTGAGGTTTTAGTGCAGGTAATAGCCTTTCAAGCAACCTTTATAAGAGGCCATGTACTGTAATGGTCCCTGTGTTGTAATTGTTAAATTGAATTTTAAAGGAATTGAATATTTCCCGTTACATTTTGCATTACAGGAGCACCAGGACAGTATGCTGGGTAATACCATGCAGAGTGTAATTGCATTATTGAATAATCTTGTGACTCAGAAAAATATGAACATGACTTTACTTTATGAACAAGGTATGTGTTTCTTATATTTTGCATCTCCTCACTGCAAATATTTTCCCCTGCATGTATAGTAACATGAGCTTTTCTACTCAGCGTACTTAATTGTGTACTGTAGTTTATAGTTACATAGCCATATTAAAGTTGGCGGTTCCTGAAGGAGTGACTAAGTGAAAACTAAATTATACCTTTAAGGCACAGCTTTGTAGAATGGTGGTACAGAGCCCAGAGTACATGGATTTTTATTGTAATTGGCCCTTGCACGAGAATCCAGGAAGAAGGGAGGGGCTTTGTATTCTCCCTACCTTCCTAGTCACACCTGTGAAAGAGTCAGTCAGTCTATAGCTGTAAATTTCTTTCTTTACTGTTTAAATGCATCAGTCATGCATTGTGATCTGTCTGGGTTTTCTGATACACCCATGAGGAGCCTCATCAACTTGACTGGTCCTAAATATGAAAATCATTACTTCAGTAATAATATGTATTGAATGGAGAATTTGGCTTCACTATACAAAATGTAGTGAGAAATTTTTGGTGTTTAAATAAGAATATATTTGTTTGAAAGTGCATCTAGAAATTTGTAACAGCATTTCGCTAGCACAGAATACTTATTTAACAACAGTATACTTGGTTTTGTGATTAAGGAAACACTAATTGTCATTTCTGCTACCATAATTCTGTGAATTTCATAGAATCCTAGAGTTGAAAGAGACCTCAGGAGGTCATCAAGTCCAGACCCATTGACTGTAAACTCTTTGGAGCAAGGTTTTTTCTGTGTTGTATAAACCTCCAGTTATGCTGTATAAATAATATAAATAATAAAAAAAGAATAATAAATAATGACATATAACTTCAAACAAAGGTTATGTGTTTACAGGCTAGACACTGAAATTACTGAGTGAGGTCCTATGGCCTGTATTGTTCAGACAATATCAAAATGGCCCATTCTGGTCTTGAAAAGTTAGAAATTAATACAATATTTAAATGCTGGTGCGAATGGTATTTATACTTAATTAAAATATTTCATGTAAACAGATTGCTCATAATACAGAGAAAGCCTTTCTGTTTTATTTTTAAAAATAATTTCATTAACACTTTAAAGCTGTCGTTTTGCTGGAACATATGGATTGATTTTTCCATAATTTTAATACAATTTTTTTGTCGTAACAGTATGTTCCATAATTTTAATACAATTTTTTTGTAGTAACAGTATGGCTTTTATAATGAAGTAACTGGCTCTGTGGATAAAGGAGAGCCAGTGGATGTGATATATCTTGTCTTTAGCAAAGCTTTTGATATGGTCTCCCATAATATTCTTGCCAGCAAGTTAAGGAAGTATAGATTGGATAAATGGACTGTAGGATGGATAGAAAGCTGGCTAGACTGTCGGACCCAATGGGTAGTGATTAATGGCTTGATGTCAGGTTGGTGTTTGGTTTCTAGCGGCGTGACCCAAAGATCAGTTCTTGGACTAGTTTTGTTCTACATCTTTATTAAGGACCTGGATGAGGGGATGGATTGCACCCTCAGCAAGTTTGCAGATGACACTAAGCTAATGGGAGAGATAGATATGCTCGAGGGCAGGGAGAGAGTCCAGAGTGACCTAGACAGATTAGAGGATTGGGCCAAAAGAGATCTGATGAGGTTCAACAAGGACAAGTGTAGAATCCTGCACTTGGGATAGAAGAATCCCAAGCATTGTTACAGGCTGGGGACTGAATGGCTAAGTAGCAATTCAGCAGAAAAGGACCTGGAGATTACAGTGGATGAGAAGCTGGATATGAGTCAACAGCGTGCCCTTGTAGCCAAGAAAGCTAATGGCATATTAGGTTGCGTTAGGAGGAGCATTGCCAGCAGATCTAGAGAACTGATTATTCCCCTTTATTCGGCTCTGGTGAGGCCACGTATGGAGTATTGTGTCCAGTTCTGGGCCCCCAGTTTCAGGAAGGATGGTGGATGCCTTGGAGATGGTCCAGAGGAGGGCGACCGAAATTATTAGAGGGCTGAAGCACATGGCCTATAAAGAGAGGCTGAGGGATTTAGGTTTGTTTAGTCTGTAGAAGAGAAGAGTGAGGGGGGATTTGATAGTAACTTATATGTTTCAACTTCCTGAAGGGAGGTTCCAAAGAGGATGGAGAGAGGCTGTTCCCAGTAGTGACTGATGGCAGAACAAGGAGCAATGGTCTCAAGTTACAGTGGGGGAGATCTAAGTTGGATATCAGGAAAAACTATTTCACTAGGAGGGAGAAATGGGTTACCTAGGGAGGTGGTGGAATCTCCATCCCTCAAGGCTTTTAAGTCTTGGCTTGACAAAGTCCTGGCTAGATTGATTTAGTTGGGATTGGTCCTGCTTTGGGCAGGGAGATGGACTTGATGATTTCCTGAGGACTCTTCCAGCTCTATGATTTTATTACAACCTAAATTATGGATTCATATAAATTATAGATCACAACAGCAACCTATGAAATATTTTTATATAAACCCCACAACATATGTATTTCCTTGTTAGACTGTGATGGCTCTAAAAGGCACTCTAATTTCTTGATAAACATTGTTGGTTTCCACCCACTTAAGTAAAAATCATCCAAATGGGTATGTGCAGATCAGAAAACCTGTCCTATATGGAGCTGTTTAGTGTTTGTTTTTTGTTTTGTTTTTGATTAGTCGTATGCACTTTGTAGTTCTCTGAAATACTTTGTCTTTCAAAAATACAATCATAAATTTTAAATTGCATTAGGACACCTCAGCAAATATCTTGTCTCCTCTGTGTAGTCTGCTAGGACCCACTCTCATTTACTTTTCACGTTACTTGGGAATATGTTAGTTCTTTCTCACCTCTATCATACTTCATGTGTCTCGTCACTCAGAGTAGTTCATGGCTTGAGGAATTGTACTAGAAATGTTATTGAAAGCAGATGTGACATGGATTGAACAGGCTTGGAGAAGGGAGAGTCTCAGTAGGAATTGGATATTACACTAGTTCAGGTTTATTACATTTCAGTACCCTGATCTGGATGCACTTCACAGCAGAAGCCTGAAACCATTTCTCCAAGATAACACCTCCAGCCCTTCAGGAACTGGCTAGTTGTCAATGTACTATATACCTAAACCGTAGCCACTGTGTTATTGATTGAAGGCCTAATCCTACAGTTCAGAACTTCTGAGACCCAAATCTGTAAAGATAATTACAGAAGTATTGATCTGGTAATGATGTATCTGAAAGTTCTTCTGTCCACATGAAGGTGGGAAGAAAACAATCCTAATGCAAAACAGAGGACTTGGTTACCCCACAATTGTATAAACTCAAGTGCCTGATTTTTATCACTTTTATACATATGGTCTAGTGGTCTGGGAAGTAATATTCTGTCTGTGACTTTGGGAAAATCTCTCTCAATTTCCCATCTGTAAAATAGGGCCTTCTGTAGTTCTTTAAAAATCCTACCCTAGAGGATTCTTATCCCTAGGTTTCAGCTTTCTAGCACAAGACAAGTGGAGCTCTAAGATCTTGAAATATTTTGGTCCATGGGACAGTAGTAGTGGGATAGAGCACTACATGTAAATTAACTTTCTTCTTCGAGTGCATCCTCATGTCCATTCAACATAGGTGTGTGCACCAAAGCTCAATGCCAAGTACAACCTTTGGTCTTGCAAAAGAAGAATGGACTCCATTAGAAGCACCCCGAGTCAAGTGCTCCTTTCTTTAACGGTTCTGGAATGGAAGGACCTGCAAATCCTACGCTTGTCCAAGATATGCCCTTCCCCCAGGAAGCGAAGGCAGTCAGCATATGAATCATTGACTAGCATAGGCCTGTGACACAGAGCACAGGCTTTGAAGCCAGAGGAGAGGGCATGCCCCGTCCCCACCATGCAAAGTCTCTAAGAGAATCAAGAGTTCAACTATTTACAGGTACTTAAACTGATGATAGAATTATTTGCAAGGCAATAGGGAATGCTAGCTACAGCTAAGTTTGGAGCATGCTGTTCCAAGCACAGTCACTGGCGGTAAGAAGGAACTAAGGAGGAAGGGGCCAGGGAGTGTCCTATATAGCCTGGCTTACATGCGCCATGATAGGCAGTGCTGGAGATCCCAGAGCGTACAGGCATAGCTTAGGATAAAAAAAACTCCCAGCACTGGTGCATGTAGCGGGCACACACACCTATTTTGAATGGATATGAGTCACATATCTCGAAAAACACCTGTTAAAGAACAGGTAACTGCCTTTTCTCCTGCTTCCCCACATCTGAGTAAGAATTAAAAAGCTAATGTAGTTAAAGTGCTTTGAAAATGGAAAGTTCCGTATACACACTGAACATTATGTGAGACTCGGATTATTAGGTCAGTCCTGAAAAGTTATGCTGCTGATGCTCCTTTTTATGATAAATTCATATGGGATCACTCATGAACATATACTTAATTATACCCCAAAGATACCTTTGTTTTGCTTCATTTATCTTACATTCAGATAATATCTCACAGGAAGTTATTGAATTTGTTTTTTTTAAAACATAAGAACGGCCATTCTGGGTCAGACCAAAGGTCCATCTACCTATGTCCTGTCTGCTGACAATGGCCAATAGAAGATGCCCCAGAGAAAGGGAACACAACAAGTAATCCTCATGTAATCCCTCTCCTGTCATCCATTTCCAGAGAAACAGAGGCTAGAGACACCATTCCTACCCATCCTGGCTAATAGCCATTGACGGACCTAACCTCCATGAATCTGTCTAGCTCTTTTTTGAACCCTGTTAAAGTCCTAGCCTTCACCACATCCTCTGGCAAGGAGTTCCAGAGGTTGACTATGTGCTGAGTGAAGAAAAACTTCCTTTTGTTTGTTTTAAACCTGCTACCTATTGATTTCATTTGGTGACCCCTCATTCTTATATTGTGGGAATAAGTCAATAACTTTTCCTTATTCATTCTTTCCACACCAATCATGATTTCATAGACCAATCATATCCCCCCTTAGTCTCCTCTTTTCTAAACTTAAAAGTCCAAGTCTTTTTAATCTCTCTTC